ATTTTAAACGTCAAGCTAGTAGCAGTGGAGAAATAAAGATGGATAAGTATTTGAATTTTTTCAGGATATGAGACCACAATTTTTTTTTATGAACAGGAGGGCCAATGGAAGCTAAAAACTGACTGATGAGGGTGTAGAAAATTATAGACGATACAACCTATCCATCAGAGATGAGAGTTACCTTGCTACATTTACGTTTGAGGGGAAAGCTGAGAGATAGTGGCAAAAGCAATTACAGGAGAAATTTGATGGTTGATCTAGCCACTTGGTACAGTGGTAGGAGTTTGTGAGAAGCTTTAGAGATTATTTTATACCACTATCAACCAAGAGAGAAATGCAGGATATATTTCTTAGGTTGGTGCAAGGAGATAGATCGGTCATGAAGTATGGAGAGGAGTTTACTATGCATTAAAAATATGTACCACAACTCGTTCCAAATGCAGAGAAGAAATGTCACAAGTTCCATTCTGGATCGAATGATTCAATCAAACAGTCATTAGTGGCACTTGGGATTGAAGACTATTAAGTGCTAGTAGAAAGAGCTAGACGAGTGTAAATTGATTGTGAGGGGGCCCAAAAGTGTAGGGATTTATTGAACAGAAAGAGCATATAAGTGTCACCAACAACTCATTCTAGAAAATCTAATGGGAAGAAAATAAAGTTATATGTTGATGGAGTTAATAGGTAGGTTGGTGGCAGCACTACAGAGTTTTGTGTTGAGTATGGGAAGCTAAATAGTGATTAATGTTTATTTGGTTATAAAGTATGTTGCTTATGCACACAGTTTGAAAATCATATTAGTAACTGCCATAATTCTACATATATAAACATCAAGTGCCAACTCAGAAAAGGGTATCATTCAAAAGAATTTTCAAGAGAGATCTAATTCCAAGAGTGGACAGCAAAAGATAACAGAAGTCGGTTTAGTGTCTCAGAAAATGCAATCAAGGCAGAACAATCGACCAAGAGTCTGCTCCTTAACTTGTTTGAAGAGAACTTGTTGCTACTGATGCTGATGATATACGTTTTTTGAGTGTTATATTTTATTTCATTTGGTTGTTCCGGTTGTCTTGTGTTGAGTATCATTATGTACTTTTATTTTATAAGTCAAATGTTGTATTAGATATTTTATCATATTTCAATTGTTTGGAGATTATATAGCCAAATGATCTTATTTCAGATGTTGGATTTATTATCACTCAAAAAGAAATAGAATTGTTATCACTTTATGTTTCATATACATAATGATTAACTTGTGGAAAGTAATAAATTTCAAGAATGAAATTTTATAAGGTGGTGAGATTGTAATATATGTACTTAAATATATTTAATAACTGAAAAATATAATAAAATGAAATAAAAGAAAAGAAATTTTAATCGGCTTGGGTTTATTCGAGCATAACCTTCTCAAAAATCTTGTTTTAACGAATCAAGCATCTCAATTCGAAGCAATTAGAGATGAACCAATCAGAAAACGAGAGTAGAAGAAGGAAAAGGAGAGATCGCATATTTCTCATACTGGAGATTCAACGTTGCTTGCAAGAAGATGGCGTCGAGGGTATTTTGTGCATGAAGTAGAAGAAATGTTGACGACACGACGTACAGGAAAGGCAAGGCAGCGCCACGAGCGACGAAGAAACAAGCGGCTTGTGTGTCTTGCATAAAGAAGAGGAAGCTTCTCGTGTTGTTGTTGAACCACAAGAGGCTTCGTACGGGGGGCTTCTCAAGCAAAGCAAAAGCCTTGTGACTGTATGTACGGGTTCAAATAGAGGAGGAGAGGAAGCCCTAGCGTGCGAGAGAAGGGAAAAAGGTTCGTGTGGTTTTTAGCGTGCAAGTAGAGACAATCCTAGTGATTTCTTTGTGCGGGAGTTGGTTGAACCACATTGAACTGAGGAAGATAAAGGTTAGGGCTTCTTCTTTTCATGGAATTGGTTAAATGTATTAAATTAAACTTATATTAAGCGTTAATATGAATTTTTAGAGTTATTAAAAATCAAAAAGGAAAAGGGAATGCTAGACAGAATTGTGGTCGAAAAAGGAGCAACCATAGTGGAAACAATGAAGGTAGGGTTGTATTTTTATTTGTAAAATTTGTAATGTTTGATTAATTAAATGGTATTAACTTTCAATAAAATATAGGAATTAATATCAGTGATTAAAATTGGTTGAATCATCAAACTAAACGATAGGGTGAGAACGAGATTGGCATTAGTGCATTAAAGGTTCAGGGTGACACGAATCATCAACAAAAGATTGAGATTAGTAATCATGTTTCCAAGTTCTAGTAACATTTCTATTGAAGCTAACCTTGACTTCATTTGTTCTCTTTTATGCTCTATATCAATGAAAATAAACTACAATTGACTCTTCATATGGATAGAGATGATGTATGCACGTTATATTGTTACACAATTATTTTCCTAAGATGTCATATCATTATATGATATTTAGATTCTAATAGAAAAGCATATAGCATACTATTACATGACCTTAAGAAGTATGCATGCTAAGAGTTCTGCATAAACAGTTGTATAATAATGGTCAATATATAAAGGTATTACACTATTGCATGCTCTTTTGAATATATAAAATGTGCAATTATTCATGAGTAGATTATTACAAAGTGTTACATAAGAAAGTAATGCATGTTATGAGGAATGAAAATAGTATGTATATATGTACAAGTGTTTTCTATGTGCACGTTAAGAGTTCACCCCTTGATATAATAGTTAACCCTAACAAAAATAAGCAAACAAATACTATTATTGAAATGACAATAAGCGGATGCAGCCAACTCATTGAAATGAAAATAACAACAGATACAACACAAGAAAATAAAAAATTCCAACTCAAATTAGGCTGGATCTCGGGGCGATGGTGGTGATCGGAAGGGGATTGGTCAAGACACTGATGGTTGTCCCGATAAAAAACACACCAAAAAGTAACTCTATAACATCATAAACGCAAATATATAAATAATAGGATAACTAGAAGTGACACATGAGGAACAATCAACTCTACAACACAAAAAAGATTGGAACGGTTCGGTCCAAGTGAGCAAGCAGATGTCTGCTTGGTCACGTGAAACCCGGCATCACGTACAAGCGCGAAAGACGCCTGCGTCACCTTTTATGGCACTAGCAATGCACACCAATATACTCATGCACATAAATGTTATCCGACCACCAAAGACAATTGTAATGTTTAGATCGCTAGCCGTTGTTCCGACGAGAGAATATCGATGAGGGGCAAGTAGGCACCGATCCACATGAGAGGATTATGTAATTTAGATCGTAAACCGTTGTGTCGAAGGAATAATATCAGTCAAGAATGTGTTAGGTAATATTTTAAAGATGCTCTCATGAAACATATGAAAGTTAAGAGTATAAAGTAAAAGTAAAAATAAAGTTGATGAATATAGAGTTTTAGATTATTTCTATTGAGCAAATATGAAGTAAACATGCATTAGATTATAATATTAATTTTTGGTAATTAAATATGAAAGATCATCATACATGTTCTTATTTTTTTCTTTAAGGTAATGTAGTTTAGAAGTGTGATTGCTCTATTGGATCATCTTTGATAACTCGTTATGTTGTTTTAATATTTTTAAGTTTAAGATTTTGACTGAGATGAATACTAGTGGAGATAATGGGTATAGAAAGTGAGATCGGCAACCAAAAAGATAATTAAATTGCTTTCTTTGATGACACTTTCATTTTTTTTATATTAAATTGTTAATGATAAAAATTGAATAAATATAAAACTTACTTTCACCGATCAACCGTCTATTGTCGTCTTGGTTAATTCCAAACCCAAATTTGGGTCGTGACAACAAGAAAGCAAAACTGCGAGCCTGAGCAAAGCCAAGACCAACAACACAAGCAATGGTCACCTGCCTTGAGCCATAGATGGTCAAAGGACGGGGCTCTTGTTGGTCGCAAGTAGCAGTATAGCGGATATGTACGAAGGCAGCCGGAAGCAAGGGCAGCTTTCAAGCAAGATAAAAACAACAAAGAGAGAGGGAGAATGCAAAATGTGAGCTCAAACCAATAATGTGTCTTCGTGTAGAATTGAGTCCAATTAGCTCTATGAGACTGGACAAGAGAGAAAAAGAAAATCAAATGTGAACTATTAACAAGATAGAAAGAGTTTATTTTATCTTTTTTTATTTTTATTTTAGGGTGGTGAAATTAGTGGCAATGAAATTGATTAAGCCAACGAAAGATAGGTCGGATCTTATTCGCAAATTTTTTTCTTAAGATTTGTTTGTTTCAAATTTCTTTCTTAAAGAGTATTTCTATAAAGTCAATAAATGTAATCTTAAAACTACAAAGAATTTGAGCATAAGTTAGCTAATCTTGTCATGCAATCAAATGGCTCAACTCTACCTAACTTTATCTCTTCTCTTTTCATACTAAGCTTATCCTTTCCTTGGAATGCTTAAGCATGAACCAAATAGGCCTTTATTCTCCAATTCGGCATTTAAATTTTATTGAAAAAATATGTTGAAAAAAATCATTGCAATATCATTTATAACTCTCCAAATCTTAATATGCATCTCATCTGAACATAAAATTTTGCCTTTAAAGCATATTTTTTTAAATAAATTCAATTAACTTTTTTGGATCAATCTATAGCATATTATTAGTTTATTCATCAAGCTCTTCCAAAATGACTTTTCACTTAAATCTATCATCTAATAATTTATTGCCATAGATCATTCCTTAAATTCATCATCTTTATTTAAGAAATTATTTTCATCACATAATGCATTTTATATGATCAAAGTCTTACTGCTTGAATCACACAGAGGTCATAAAACGTACGTATAACATCATATGCAAAGGCACAAAAGCTCTGAGAAGATAATGGCTTTAGGTAGAGAATAATCAATTATAATGAATGAAATATTACTATACTTGCTTCTCCATCCATTCATTCAATAAAAAGAACAATAAATAACAAATGAATTAAAAGTGGGATACACCCGAACTAACCTGTAAACCAAAGAGATACCAACATGAACCCACAACATGTCCAGCCAATACAAACATGAGAAGATTAATAACAAAATTGGCCCAAGCTGACTCAAATATGAAACCACTTGCAGACTGACCAGCCAGAAGAGGAAGAAACCTGATGATTCTAGGTACATATTGAAGAAGAACTGTAAATCTTAAAAGGTTTTTTGCATAGTTAGCAGATGATGTTCCAACATATTTTGGTATAACTACCAATATCATAACCTGTAATGAAGACAAATTTTAAGGGCATTCATCAGCTACAGTACAGAAGATCAAAGAGATGAGTAAGAGAAGCAAAACCTAGGTGCAAATAGTTTGTTTTTTCAAATCAGTATAAAACAATTTAAATGATTATGTAACCAAATGAACAATCTGATTCTGGCAATGCAAACATTCAACACCATCAACCTTAGCCTTAAACCAAAATTCAAGCTGATTTGAATCTTCATTAACAGCTAGGTTCTATCCAGATAAGTTTACTCCAGAGATTTTATCCTACTTATCCGTTCCACAGTTGCTTACTTACCTCCTTGAAAAGCACATTTTCTCATGCATTTTATATGCCTAAATTCTCTCTATCGAGTTTCTACCAGCTTTTCCTCGATTGATGTTTCAAACACACATTCTCTCATGTAATTGTTCTCCTTATGCCACAGTAATATTTTATGCAATCTTTACTAGCTAAGAATCAATAAATGAAGCATCAAATGAAATACTAAACACTATTTGTCATTGAAGCACATTGCATCCTGATATTACACAGATGGGAACAATGGAGGAAAAAAGTTATTTTTCCCTTTGAATTAATGTGAAAAACAAAGAATAGCATCATGCAGTTAGGTAAATACAATTCCAAGTCCTGGCAGCAGAAGAAAAAAATGGATCTTCATCTTAGAGAGAATGTGCATTAACAAAATTCAATACAAGATTTCACAGATTCAAATAGAATTATGTGAAAAACTTCATATAAAATTAGTATGTATAGCTGAAAGTTCATCCTACTATTTCTATCCTCACAAAATGCATCCCATGATTACCCAACAAACAGTAGTAACAAATAAGGTTGAATAATTCACCTGAGGAAGGGGTAAAACAACAAATAAGTCCAACAGAAAATAGCCACGAAGATAATGCATCGCAATTTTCTTTGGTTGATCAACCAAATCCCCAGCACCAACCACTCTTGACTCAGGAGCAACATATGCCAACCTAAACTGCAGCAAATGATTCAATATAAGCCTAGCAACTTGGAGAAAGACAAGTATTTTTGGTATATTTAAATAAATATATCCCGTAAGGATAAATAAAGGAAATGAGTAATGCTTCTTCTCATAGTTTCTATTAAATAAAACAAGCATAACACGAACAAAAGATTTCAAAATATCTAATGGGAAAAAAACCAGATAATTGCAAACTAAAAAGAAGATTAAATATCAATGAAAACACTTTCATTTAGAACAAAGTTCACAAGTCTTAACATCTGATTGACAATTGAAATACTAACAAATCCAAGTAATTGGCATCAAAATGCCATTTTCTAAGATATTGGACCAGCATCTCCTTCCCGATTAAGTAACTATAGGTGCAGGTTATCATTAAACAGAGCAGCAAAAAAGAAGCAGATGAATCACTCATTTCACATCCAGGATGAATGACCAGGGAGGAAAAGCATAAAGCATCCAGTTTACCAATACTACCAGAACGCACTGATAGAATATTAGTTAAACCTGAAAAAGAAAAGTACATCCACAAAAACTGGGCCATGACTATTATAATGTTATTTTGTGACCTACAGAAAGAAAAGGCTAAATTGCTTTTGTTGATTCAGATAAATGAAGGGTTCAAATTTCAAACAGGAGAAAATACCATAATTTTATGAATCTAGACATATTTTTCCATAATTCTAAAGCACTAATTGTAATAGCATGGTAAAATTATCCATGCTAGAAAGCAATTGTGAAATACAAGCAAGAACTAAAGCAAGACAACAAGAACTAACAGAATGTATAGAAGACACAATGCATTATGAAATCAACCAAAGGCATCTTAGTTTGATATTGTTTTGCGAGGCAAAGATGAGGGGAAGGAGAGGGACAAAATTACTTTTATTCTTTATACTCTTCCACTCATGCCAGTTAATATTTTCATCTAGGCAGGTTTTCCATTTAATGAACCTGGGTTTCTCCAATCTTTCATCCCACACGATATAGTTGGATAATTTCAAACAAACCCAGTATGTTTTCCCAAGAAAAATCCAATAGATATTAAGTCATGGAACATCAAACTTATTTTTTTTTTCTTTTTTTTTTCTTTTTTTTTTGGGAATACTCAACCTAATCTGAGAATATGGTCATTCAACCAAGCACAAAGTAACCCAAAAAGTGGCAACATAATTGATAAACTAAATCATGGTGTCAGATAAATATTTAGGCATTCCAAGAGAGAAGCGAATGCGCTGTAGTCGCTGAACGATTACCTGAAGAAGCATATGCATAAAATAAATGAAATCGGTAACACTTCTCACAACAGTTATTGCTGTCGCTAGGGACCAATTGAAAACTATGCACTTTTGGTCCTGTGAAAGATGAAAAATTGATTTTAATTATCAGAGGCTGAATTTCAGAAGGCAACTGATATTAATGAATGAACATAAATATTATAGAAACAAAAGCTAAATCAGAGAATAAAACAATTTCAAGCATCTTAACTAATCTAAATTGCGTTATAATATAGATTGGAGTCTAGTAGGATAGGAATCATACAGAGTAACAAAATGAAGATTAAAATTAGCAAGATATATTAATTTTCGAACAAGAAACCTAACTTCATCCAAGGGGGTGCCCGGAAAGAACAAAAGCAGATTATACATTGTACACCCTATCTTGCTCCAGTAAGAGTTAGCCCCATTGAGTGACATTCAAATTGCAATTAATCTTGTTCCAAGTGCACAAATTCAATATATTCTTGACTATAGGATCAGCCAGATCATGCTAGCCTAAAACGACAAGTTAAAGACTTTTATCAAAAGAATTAATAAATGAGAGTTTGAGTCATTATATTGTGCCTATATTATTGACCACAAATAAAGATGGCTCATGGAAATGTACATCAAAAGTAAATCCCTCAACAAATTTATGATAAGATGTAGGTCCATGCTTCTTTGTTTTTACATGTTTGATTGAATTTTAGAAGCCCTGCTCCCCTCAAATATTGATCTCAAAAGCAGGTACCATCAAATCAGGATTTACCCTGAAGATCAATGTACAATGATTTTTAAGACACTTGATGGCATGTATAAAGGATTGGTCATGTCAATTGATCAGGTTAATGCGCCTACAACTTTTATGAGGATTATAAACCAACCATCAATAGGAGAGTTTTTAGTTAGTTAATTTAAAAACATCCTCATTTATAGTATATTAAAGGCACAATATAAAGATCATTTTTCTTTGCAAGAACTTCTATAAGAAAAGTATTATATTAACCTTAAAAAGTGTATTGTTATCCAATGATAACTTATATTTTTTGGTATTGAGATGTCTTCCAAATGATTGGAAATTGATCCACAAAAGATCAAGGGTATTATTGAGTGGCTTCGACCGCAATCCATTGCCACGGATTAGTCATTTCTATCATTGTTTTATCTTAGGTTTCAATTCAGTTACAACTCCTTTAACAGGCATCTAATTGTAAGGAAAATTCAAATGGAATCCTAGTAATACTAAAGCATTTGACCTTATCAAAGCTAGAATGATTGAGGGCTCATGCTTAGCTTTCATGATATTATAAGTTTTTTGAAGTGTCATGCGATGCTTTATAAGTAGGGCTTGGTAGTGTATTTAGTCAGAAAAATCACAAGGACATTTAATTTGATATGAAATAATGCAAATGTACTTCATTAACTAGTAGTTTTATGATGGTGTGCAAGCCTTGCAACATTGATGTCATTATCTTCTTCATGAGGAGTTTGTATCATATTCTGACCACGAAGATTTGCGGTGTTGGCAAACCTTAAAAAAGTCAAGTACCAATCATACAAAATAGGTCACATTTATGAAAGGAAAAAAACATTTCTTCTTAAACATCATCCTGGTGTTGCTCATAACATCCTTTATCCATTTTGCTATGCTTTTAACTTGCTTGATACAATAACTATGAAGTTCTAAGGTCTGATATGAGAAATTTTATTTAAGGCATAGTTGGGTCAAGCCATCCCTATGACTACCCCTTAGGATTTCACCTTGAGGACTGTAGCATGGAGGGTGCTCTTGGGCATGAATTCTCATGGAAATTGTAAAGAACTATTAGAAGATGTGATATGAAGTTTTTGGTAGTGATTGAATAAGTTTAAGTGTCTGATGGAATTTTATTTAAGGCATAGTTGGGTCAAGCCATCCCTATGACTACCCCTTAGGATTTCACCTTGAGGACTGTAGCATGGAGGGTGCTCTTGGGCATGAATTCTCATGGAAATTGTAAAGAACTATTAGAAGATGTGATATGAAGTTTTTGGTAGTGATTGAATAAGTTTAAGTGTTTGATGGAGGCTACACCTGACTAGGTCGAAGTGATTAATTTAAAGAATTTTTGGTTAGTGTTGAAAAATGTGATTTTATACGGTTTAATGGAGTATTTAGAGGCTAAAGAAGCTTCAAGGCGTTTGGTTACAAACAAGAAATATGGATGGTGGTGGAATGGGGGAACCAAACTAAGCCATCAAAGGGTCCCTAGTTTTGGTTGAACACATGGAAGATGACTATGAATTTTAGAGGCTAAAGAAGCTTCAAGATGACTATGAAATCAAAAAGGTCTGCTGCCAACAACACAACCGAACTCAATTTTTTTCACTCATCAAAAGCTGAATTTTATTAATCAAAATGAATATTAAAGGAAAAAAATCAGATTCTTTTTAAAATAAAAAAATGAGGGAAATCTCAATAAGAAAAAAAGATGTGCGGCCACTCCATTTTTTACTTCAATAAAAGTATCACCTTCCCCCCACCTTCCAATAAGGCTAAAACATATAAAGCAAGATAAAATAAAAAAAATAGTAGCCTCCCAAATGGACGAAAAAAAAAAATCAAAATTCAAAATATTATTATTTAATATTTGAATTTTAAATTTTAATCACGTGAGACAATCCGTGAACTTACGATTTCTTTGATAGATGCATGGTATTTTCATTTGTTATCTAAAATATGAAAATTAGGTATCTAATTTTTCGAAAAATCAATAATGTATAAAAATTTACTTTTATCAATTCAATAAATTTGAATAATTTTTCTAAGATTTACCATTGTCATTGTCGGATACCAAGCCCTAGATGTGAAAAGTTGAGGGTTACGTTAGGTAGTCGACAGCCAATGTAAAAGTTGTCGAAAAATCATGACATGAATCATTTTAATTATTGTGTAAATGTTATGGCGTCCGCTGGAAGTGATTCGTTGTATGTCCAAAAAAAAGCGAAAAGTGTGCAAGGGTCACTACATCGATGTCCAGGTGTAGTGTCAAATAAGCAAGGGTTCTCACATTACGGACGGACGCGAGTAAAGAAGTTAATACATGAAACTAATATTAGGATAGAATTTTGAAATATAAATACTCTCACAGATAAATTAATGGAATTAATTGATATTATGATTCATAGAATGATAAATATCTTATGTATTTAAGAAACTAAATGAGTTGGAGAAAAGGGTAAGGAGATTAATAACTTAAGTTTTAAACTTTGGTATTCAGGTAAGATTCGTAGAGCAATGGTGTAGGTGTAATTATAGATAAGAGTTCGAAAAATAATGTTGTAAAAATTAATAGAATTGGAGAGAGAATTATAGCCCTTAAAATTATTGTTGATACTAAGATTTTTAATATTATAAACGCTTATGCTCCTCAAGCAGATTTAGATATAGGTTCTAAAGATAAGTTCTGGAATGACCTAAAAGATTTATTATAAGTGACACCTCTTGAAGAAAGAATTTTTATTGGAGATTTAAATAGACATGTCGGCAGAGTGGTAGAAGATTTTAGAAATATTCATGATGGTTGTGGTTTTGAAGTGATTAATGAAGAAGGTAGAGTCATATTAAATTTTGTTTTAACGTATGATTTTGTTATTGCTAATACTTTATTCAAGAAAAGAGACGGGCATATTCAAGAGAAGAGATCGTTTAGAATGTAAAGATTGTAAGGTCATTCCAAGTAATGATTTAAGTACTCTACATCGATTATTAGTTCTAGATTTTAAGATGAAGAGTTGTAAAATAAACAATACTAGGAGTCATTGTCGTAGAAATAGATGGTGGCACCTAAAAGACAGAGATAAAATTATTTTTATGAGTAAACTTCAAGATTTCAAAATTTGGGATGTACATAAAGAAGGTAAATTCTATATGGGATAAAATAACAAAAAATATTAAACAAATGGCAAAAAAAGTACTTGGATAATCAAAAGAAAATGTTTCTACACGTAAAACAGTTGGTGGTGGCATAACAATGTACAAGAAAAGAAAAAATATAAAAAGTTATGTTATAAAAATTGGTTTAAATGTAAAATTTTAGAGAATTGGGAAAAAATATAAAATGACCCGTAGTGAGTCTAAAAGAACAATCTATGACGCTAAAATTATATTTTTAGTAATCTTTATAATTTATTAGATACTAAAGAAGGTGAAAAATAAATGTATAAACTAACCAAACAAAGAAAAAAAAAGAAAAAGGTTTAACTCAAGTAAAATAAATTAAAGATGAAAATCAAAAAATATTTTTCTTAGAAAAAGATATCAACATAGGTGGGTGAGTTATTTTGGTAAACTTTTTAGTAAGTTTCTGAAAATAAGATCGACCTCAGTGAACTTAATATTGTTAATAATAATAAATATTTTATTTTTAGCATTGTATTAGTAAATAAGAAATTGAAGAGACTTTAATGAAAATCAAGAGTAGAAAGTCTGTAGAACTTGATGATAACCCAATTGAAGTGTAGAAATATATAGGAGATTTTGGAGTTTCTTGACTTATTAAGCTCTTTAATATTATTTTAAAATTAAAAAGATGTCTGACTGGTGGAGGAAGAGTATTTTGGTCCCCATTTTTAAGAATAAAAAGGACGCACAAGAGTGTGCAAATTATAGAGTAATTAAGTTGATGTGTCATACTTTAAAATTATGGGAAAGCATAATTGAACATAAGCTAAGATGTATTATAAAGATTTCTCATAATCAATTTGGATTTATGCCGAGCAAGTCTACTCTGGAAGCTATACATTTATTGATAAATTTGACGGAGAGGTTCATGGAAAATAAAGAGGATCTACATATAATATTAATTGATTTAGAAAAAACTTACGATAATATTCCAGAGATATCCTTTGGAGAGTTCTAGAGAAGAAAGGTGTTGATATGACTTGTACTCAAGCCATTAAAGATATGTATACTAGAGTTGTTACTTATGTTCGAATAGAAGGAAGATTGACCAAATATCTTCCTATTTCAGTTGAATTACATCAGGGATCGGTTTTAAGCCTGTATCTTTTTACTTTAGTTATGGATGCTCTTAGTGGACCTTTACAGAAGGAAG